CCACTCCCAGCAGTTTGTTTAATTAAGTGTTTTGCCTAATGGGATTGCCTCATTTCCATAACAAACTGGCGGGCTGTCATTAGGTGGGCTCCCTCATTCATTACTGTTAATTAGATATGGATCCCCCAGAAGGCGGTGCGGGGTGATGAACGAGGCCCCTGACACACGCTATTACACATTAGCATTTTCTCAATACATCCGATACATCACGGCCCTCCGCTTCCTAAAGATATTTTAAATAAAATATTAGCAGCCTGCTGCGAGGTGGGCGGTGGGGGAGGGAGGGTTCCTGCCCCTCACCCTGGCCTCAGGCCTCCTCTGGGCTGAAAAAGGACCTGAGATACCCTGCTACTCCCTGCCAGCCAAAAAAAGCAACCAAAGCCACTCCTTTCCCCATCCTTGCCAACAGAGATGGAAAAAGGAGCCGGACATCCATCCCTGCTGTCCACCTCCACCAGCCTGGGGACCCCCCAGCACCCCGTTCCCAGGGGACACAGCCACGGGGAGGGGTTTAAAAACATCCCATCAACTCGTCTGCAAAATGTTTGTAAACCAAAAGTGTCGGCGCCAGCCCCAGGCCGGGGGGAACCCAACCTCTGCCCCACCGTGCTAGAGCAGCCTCCTGGTCCCTGCTGTCGCGCGTAACCCTACACTGCGCCGCTGTCCCCTAATGCAGGACGTATAGATCTGTTGGGGCTGGGCGCCTCCTGCCCCAACTAATGCAGCCAACGAGACTTCATTATGGGGTGAGGATCCCTTGGGGTGTGCCCTTCGTCCTGCCCTCCTGGCTTTATGGGGGGGACACCATCCATGGTGAGGCAGAGATGCATCCCACCCCAGCAGGGGTCCTGCCCCAGCATCCCCTTGCATCTGTCCCTGTACCCCAAAATGTGACCAGTGCCCCCCTTTGGGACATTACCCACATCCAGGGGCTGCACTGGGAGGCGGGGAGGGTGGCTCCTCCGCTACTTCTCACCTGCAAAGGGAAACACAGAAAGGCAGAAACGCCCAAGAAGAGTTATACTTGTTTAATTAATGTCAAATGTAGTTTACAAACGGGAGCGACAAGTACCTCTTTGTATAATATACACTGACACACAATCATCGACACACTGGAATATCGCTTTGTGCAACTGGGATTCTTTGGGCAAAGATAGGTAACTCCGATATTTCTTTTTTTTTTTCTTTTTTTTTAAAATCATTTGAATTTGTTACAGAAGAGGGGAAGTGGCAGATGCCTGTTTCAAACTTGGGATGCCTCTCTCCCCAACCTTCCCCCTGCAGCCTCCCCTCCTTGAAAACAGGGCATGGCTTTACAATTAAAACAAAAAATAAAATTAAACAAAACAAAACAAAGAACCAATGACTAGTTACATATGGTTTAACACATACGTACATAGAGCACACGGCTGGTCCGCAACACCTGCCAGAAAGCCTGCCTTCCTCCTGGGGCCTGTTCCCACGGAAAGGCTGGGGTGGGGTGTCCTGCCCTCTCCCCCTTCCTGGCTGCCTCAAACCCCCTCACTGCACCTTCTCCAAACCCACCTCTGAGACCCCAGCACTGGCACCCAAGCAGCGCAGCCCTGGCTGGGTGGCACTCACAGTTCAGCCATCCCCCCCTCCCCAATTTTTCCCCCTTTACAAACCTGGGGCCTGTTCCCACGGAAAGGCTGGGGTGGGGTGTCCTGCCCTCTCCCCCTTCCTGGCTGCCTCAAACCCCCTCACTGCACCTTCTCCAAACCCACCTCTGAGACCCCAGCACTGGCACCCAAGCAGCGCAGCCCTGGCTGGGTGGCACTCACAGTTCAGCCATCCCCCCCTCCCCAATTTTTCCCCCTTTACAAACCCAGACCCGAGTTCTGCGTGCCTGCCCTTCCCCTGCCCGAGTGCTGCCGGCCAGAGGGTGACCCAGCAGTGACAGCCCAGCGCTGCGGCCCCTTCCCCTGCCTGCAGCATCCCCAGGGAAGCAGGACCCTCCCAGGGTGCCTCGGCTTCCTCTGGTCCCCAGGAGCTTTGCAGGGATGTCACCCTGAGCAAGAAGGCTACAGCTCTCTGCTCTCAGAAGTCACCAGGCTGCTGTGAGCTTGGAGACCCAGGAAACTCTCAGTAAGGATCATCACCTTTTGCCAAGATGTTTATAAAGTACAGGTCCTTCTATTTGTTAATTTTTTTTTCTGGGGGTGCAGTGGAATAATTCTAAAGTCACTCGGGAGATGCCAAGGACAGCAGCTGCTCTCTGCAAAACAGCATCAAGCTGAGGGCAGAGAAGTGGTGATGGGACCATCACCCCCCAGGCATCCTGCCCCTCCAGCCATTCCCTCTCTGGAAAGGCCCTGGCAGCCCAGCAGCACTGGGGTCCCAGTTCCAAGCCCCTTGTCCACTGCTGTCTCCATACTGTCTCAAAATGCCCCAGCCACATTGTGCTGCCAGCTGGGATCTGCTTGGAAGCACCTTGCAGGAGCAGAGGGAGATGAACTTCCCCATCTCCTCGTCTTCTGGCTTCAGGGAGCCGGCGCCCCATGACTGCCCGGGGAGCTGGGGCAGGGCTGCACGGCGTGGGCTGGGAGATGTCAGCACACGGGGCATGTGTTTGCCTTGGGAAATGGCTCAGTATCTGTTTCTTGGGTCCTGAAAACAAAAGAAAAACAACAAAAAACCAGGCCAGATGGCAGCTTTGGTTCAGGCTGAGGATACAGGAGATGGGGACAAGCATGGGGGACTGCGTGGAAGAAGCTGGGGCTGGGGGGAACCTCTGGCTCTGTCTGGAAGTGTCTGTGCTCGCTGCAGCCTGTGGGCAAGCCCTGGGATGGCCATGGGGACAAGAGAGGGCTGGCTGGGCTCTGTGCCGTAGTGCCAAAACCTCTTTTGCAAAACACAGGCTCCAGGAAAGCAGCAGCTGGCTC